ATTCCTGCTTCCAACAAGTTTAAACCATTTTACAGTTGTGCCTTCTTGCCTTCCATACCAGATCATTCCTTGGTCTTCAATTACCATTGCCGAGCAGTTACAATCTGAATTTCCCCTTCACTAACTGTGTTGTTAGATTTGTGTTCTCAGCTCGCAGTTGCCTACCAGGTCTCATGTCTTCTTTTTCATTCTCAAAAATAGCTTTCTCTTCCATTTCCCATTATCAGTGTTTTGGTTCCTGTCAGATCTTTACCTCTAATTAGAATTCGTAGCTTTACCTAATCCTTTTCCTACCTTGATTCAGTTTTTGTCCTGTGTACATTTCTTTCTAGTAAGGTTCCATAACAGTACAAAAGACAGAGACTTATCCTCCATGGTGACATCCAGTTCTTTCATCCTACCAGCTGAGAGGAACTGGGAACAACATGAGAGAAAAATTACAGATTCAGCCTTATTTCATCCTTAACTCCTCCTCTTAGTGCTGTGTAGATAAGAACCTGCCGAATTGCTCTGTCAGGCTGCTTTTCCTGCAAGTGCAGTTTGTTGAGACCGAAGAGGTGCAAACTGTGGATGTGCGATAAATAATCAAACTCAGAGTTTCCTATAATTGACTGAGCATTTTTGGTTTGTTCCAGTTTTAAGTTTCAATACTGAAAATGGCTAACCTACTTTATCTGAAGTTTCCCAAAATGTAGAGTGAGAAAACATGCCATGCAAAATTTCAGGCCAAAGAGTCTCATTTGGAAGCAACAGAAAAGACAGTCTTAATGTGGAAGAGGCTGAAGAAACAGAACAAGCAGTAGTAAAGAAGACTGCCTGTAACACATACTTATTATATACTGTTACAACAATATTATTTGGAAATTGTGCTATCTTGGCAACTCATTTACCTTGAATTCTTCAACGATAATACTCATGGCTTCATGTCCAGCTTTTCTCATGTCTTCCAACTCTTGCTTATGCTTTTCCTGCAGAAACACATAGAAAGATCGTGTTATACAACACGGGCACCATACATAACAATATTAATTAGGAGAGTAAAGACCAATTATTTTCCTCAGTTTTTGTATCCTCCATGAAGAAATGCACACATCTTAGCTCTTTAGATATTATATATAAGCTCAATTCAAGCTGGGTCTAATATTAACCTTATTTTGCTTTATTTCTTGATTTTACTGTATTTATTTATAATTCTAAATGGTTCTTCAAATTTTTAAAACATTTTCTTTGTTACTTGAATTTTTCAGATTTCTTGGTATACCTGTGGATGGCAGGACTTCCAAATCACTCTTAGTAAATGTTATTTACTACCTATATTAATAAAAATGTTGAAACAGATTAGTATCAGATTCAGCTTCCTCAGAAGAGCACAACCTTCTCCTACTCATTACATAACTCATCTTTTTTTCATTCTTAAGGTTCCCAGGAAAGTGTTCTTGCATAACACATCCTGGAATGTTTTTAAAATAAAGCTCTACTGTTCACTTTTTATTTTATTCACAGTATTAAGCAAAAACAAGATGGACAAGATCATTCTAGTATTTTTGCCTTTACACAAAAATGCTTCTCTGTGGTTTGCTCTCCAAGTCCTCAAGATTAACACCTTCTTAGATTCTCATCACCCTTTCATGCTTATCAATGAGCAGCAGCAATTTTTCAAGTCACCAGCTAATAAGAACATGAAAAACTTTCTCTCCTCCCCCATTCTTTGATTCAGGGATCTGTTCTTAAATCTTCTAGTAGAGCAGTCCAGAGGTGCTTAAATCACCTTGGAAAATTGGTGCAGAAAGCATGACATTCATCACAACCCTTACTTCGCAGGGATTAGATGATAAATCCATATACAACTTGCACTACATATTTATAGCTTTTTGGATGGAATTCAAGTTGAAATTAATACAATTCTATGTTTTCCGGTATCTGTATGTTTGAAATAAGCAAAACCTAGTGTCTAATAAAGCATGTTCGATTTTATTATGAAAGGCCACATAAAACCATTAAAAATCATCAGTCTGAAACTCCATATACATTTGACAGGAGGTTTCTGCTCGGCCATTCAGCTCCTTTCTCCTGACAGGGCCATCTGAGCAAAAATTTCAAAATTAGAGCTATATAAACTGCTATAGATATATATAATGGGACATCCAGGTTTTCTTGAATAGAACTGGGTTTTTTGTGAAACCCTGTCAGAAAAACTGACAGGAAGCAGAAGAATTGAATATGGAAATATTTTGAAGTGTAAATCATCTGCTACATCAGATAATGCACAACATTTGGGTACAGCAGTTTAATCACACTGTGATGCCTATGAATCACTAACACCACAAACTAGTTAAACTCAGATGTTATCTATGTAAAAATAAAAGCACTGAGATAGAAATATTTTTACAGTACAAAACTACAGAATTGGTATAAGGGGGAAAATGTGATCAAGTGCTTAATTCCAAAGCTTCACAAATCAGTAACAAATGCATTCCCTGTGAAAAGTGAACATGAGGGGGCAAAAAATAAGAAAAATGTGATTACTATAGTAGCATATCTTGTATCCACAAATAAGAAAAAAAATATATATAGAAAGAGGGAGTTAATGGTCATTAATTATTCCAGCTGAGGCGGGGAGGGGCAGAACCAAAATGAAGAAAAACCCACACCACACCACACACAAACAAACAAAACTGAAGAGGAAGCATTCTGTGTTGAGAAAAGCCTTTAAACAAAAGAGTTCAACCAGTAAGATTTCCCTCTGTATCTGTCAGAACTACCTTGAACACAACAATGAGACACAGTGGATCAAGTGTGTTGACCGAGGAAGTAACATACTTCATTTTGGTAAAAAGTCCAATACCTCTCTCTAGCATTACCAGGCAAATCAAGAAACAAAATAAAAAACAGTTTGTCTTCTTGCAACAAAACTCTCAAGTTTTTTAGAATTAGTGACTTGTTCAAAGTCATGTACTCAGTGTGAACTGATAAGAGAAGTTGAAGCAACAACAAGGTATAAGTAATTTAATTGAATTTTTCCCTTTTTTGCATTAGGTTATCAATAATCACAATTTCTAACATTAAAAAAGATCAGAGCAGTAATACACACATAAAGCAAAAGCCAGTACTGCAAAGAAGCACTGTAAGGTCCCGTTTATATGCAGGGAAAAAAACGTTAGAAGACATAAAATCAATTCAGAAAAACATCCCAAATTTTTGTTCACTTTCATAAATAATCAAATATGATCCATAAAACAAAATTCTGTATTCTGGGGTCAACGGATATGATGTGCTTTTCGCATTTTATATTACTTACTCATAAACCCTGTTTAAAGAAAAGTCAGGAAAAACCTGCCAAGGAAATGGTACATTTTAACTGCACAAATGTTTCAGTAACACCTGTTAAGATACTGCATATAATGTGCAGGCCAGTTATATGACTTGATGCTGACTGCCTATCTTCTATAAGGCTGTGGTATCATCAGAATTAGCTGCAAGGCTGAGCCAGTGTCTTTGACAGTGATGCACTCTCTTCCCTTTCATTTCTGTACTGATGGAAAATGACAAACAGTAGTTCTCTGCAAGCAACTAGATTAGAAGACAAATTTCAAATCCATCTTAAACAGGTTTGCTAAATATAATTACATCATTAAGACTCTTAATATTGGACTCAATTCCTCCATTACATCAAGATTTTCCTTTCCACAAAAATTATTAGCTCTTCTATTCCTTTCAAAGCATCATTTAAAAAAAATCATAAATAACATTTATTATCATAATGATTCTGTTAAGAAATTGGTAACTTCTCATCTGAAGATATCCATTTCACTCAAGTATAGAGAAAAAATAATGTTACTGAATTCAACAGAACTAAAGCACTGAAAATCTGAGTTAAACATGATGAGAATCAGCCCACAATGGCTAATTAGTATACACACTAGAGTGTGCTATTGTATATAAAATAGATCGGTCACTATTTCTGTTCACGTAAAATAAGAATATGGGTTCTCCAGAATTAAGACACAGGATTGCCCCCAAGTCTATAGCAAAGACAGTATTTTCACTTTGGTTACATCACCAACATTTTAGTGAAAGATACAGTTGACAACCTAAACATGAGGACAAACATTTTTATAGGAGGGAAATAAAGAATTCAAAAAAAACCAAAAGAACATGCAGTATGCGCACCCTTAAGCTCACCACAGGAGCCAAGAAGATACTATCATCCATTTTATACACGTAAATGTCATTGCTACCTGGACTATACAACAACAGAAGACTTTGAAATGAACAATGAAGTGACGTAGCGAACAAACTTTCATGAGTAATTTCCTAAACTAGCGGTGAGGACATTTCCTGC